ATTCATCTCCCAGTGTCTGGTGGAAAGCAGACTGAACTAGGTTTTCCTCTAGGATTTTGCCTGTGTTTAGTTCTATTCCGTATGTTTTTTTATCCTGAAAAACTCCCAAGTCTTTAATGATTACAAGCATACCCATAACATGATGCATCCACCACCATGCCTGAACATACAGTGGGGAAAAAAAGTATTTAGTCAGCCACCAATTGTGCAAGTTCTCCCACTTAAAAAGATGAGAGAGGCCTGTAATTTTCATCATAGGTACACGTCAACTATGACAGACAAAATTAGAAAAAAAAATCCAGAAAATCACATTGTAGGATTTTTAATGAATTTATTTGCAAATGATGGTGGAAAATAAGTATTTGGTCAATAACAAAAGTTTCTCAATACTTTGTTATATACCCTTTGTTGGCAATGACACAGGTCAAACGTTTTCTGTAAGTCTTCACAAGGTTTTCACACACTGTTGCTGGTTTTTTGGCCCATTCCTCCATGCAGATCTCCTCTAGAGCAGTGATGTTTTGGGGCTGTCGCTGGGCAACACGGACTTTCAACTCCCTCCAAAGATTTTCTATGGGGCTGAGATCTGGAGACTGGCTAGGCCACTCCAGGACCTTGAAATGCTTCTTACGAAGCCACTCCTTCGTTGCCCGGGCGGTGTGTTTGGGATCATTGTCATGCTGAAAGACCCAGCCACCTTTCATCTTCAATGCCCTTGCTGATGGAAGGAGGTTTTCACTCAAAATCTCACGATACATGGCCCCATTCATTCTTTCCTTTACATGGATCAGTCGTCCTGGTCCCTTTGCAGAAAAACAGCCCCAAAGCATGATGTTTCCACCCCCATGCTTCACAGTAGGTATGGTGTTCTTTGGATGCAACTCAGCATTCTTTGAGTTTTGACCAAAAAGTTCTATTTTGGTTTCATCTGACCATATGACATTCTCCCAATCCTCTTCTGGATCATCCAAATGCACTCTAGCAAACTTCAGACGGGCCTGGACATGTACTGGCTTAAGCAGGGGGACACGTCTGGCACTGCAGGATTTGAGTCCCTGGCGGCGTAGTGTGTTACTGATGGTAGGCTTTGTTACTTTGGTCCCAGCTCTCTGTAGGTCATTCACTAGGTCCCCACGTGTGGTTCTGGGATTTTTGCTCACCGTTCTTGTGATCATTTTGACCCCACGGGGTAAGATGTTGCGTGGAGCCCCAGATCGAGGGAGATTATCAGTGGTCTTGTATGTCTTCCATTTCCTAATAATTGCTCCCACAGTTGATTTCTTAAAACCAAGCTGCTTACCTATTGCAGATTCAGTCTTCCCAGCCTGGTGCAGGTCTACAATTTTGTTTCTGGTGTCCTTTGACAGCTCTTTGGTCTTGGCCATAGTGGAGTTTGGAGTGTGACTGTTTGAGGTTGTGGACAGGTGTCTTTTATACTGATAACAAGTTCAAACAGGTGCCATTAATACAGGTAACGAGTGGAGGACAGATGAGCCTCTTAAAGAAGAAGTTACAGGTCTGTGAGAGCCAGAAATCTTGCTTGTTTGTAGGTGAACAAATACTTATTTTCCACCATAATTTGCAAATAAATTCATTAAAAATCCTACAATGTGATTTTCTGGAATTTTTTTTCTCAATTTGTCTGTCATAGTTGACGTGTACCTATGATGAAAATTACAGGCCTCTCTCATCTTTTTAAGTGGGAGAACTTGCACAATTGGTGGCTGACTAAATACTTTTTTTCCCCACTGTATGTAGAGTGGTCCTCAGTGATGAGTTGTATTGGATTTGCCCCAAACATAACACTTTGTGTTCAGGACAAAAAGTGTATTGCTTTGCCACATTTGTTGCAGTATTACTTTAGTGCCTTGTTGCAAACAGGATGCATGTTTTGGAATAATTGTATTCTGTACAGGCTTCCTCCTTTTCACTCTGTCAATTAGATTAGTATTGTGGATTAACTACAATGTTGTTGATCCATCCTCAGTTTTCTCCTATCACAGCCATTAAACTCTGTAACTGTTTTAAAGTCACCATTGGCCTCATGGTGAAGTCCCTGAGGGGTTTCCTTCCCCTCCGGCAACTGAGTTAGGAAGGAAGCCTGTATCTTTGTAGTAACTGGGTGTATTGATACACCATCCAAAGGGTAATTAATAACTTCAAAATGCTCAAAGGGATAGTCAATGTCTGCTTTATTTTTATTTTTACTGCCCTTCTTTGCAAGGCATTGGAAAACCTCCCTGGTGTTTGTGGTTAAATCTGTGTTTGAAATGTACGGCTCGACTGAGGGACCTTACAGATAATTGTATGTGTGGGGTACAGAGATTAAAAATGACTTTTGAATGAATACTTAAACACTATTATTGCGCACAGAGTGAGTCCATGCAACCTACGTGACTTGTTAAGCACATTTTTACTCCTGAACTTATTTAGGCTTGCCATAACAAAGGGATTGAATACTTATTGACTCAAGACATTTCAGCTTTACATTTGTAATTAATTAGTAAACATTCCTCAAAATAATTCCACTTTGACATTATGGGGTATTGTGTGTAGGCCAGTGACAATACATCTACATTTAATCCATTTTAAATTCAGGCTGTAACACAACAAAATGTGGAAAAATGTCAAGTGTGCGAATACGTTCTTAAGGCACTGCAAATAGGTAAACTATTCTACTATTTGTTTTTAGTTTTAATAACAACATTACATGGTATACAGTAAACAATTATCTGCACATTTAGAAAGCCAGGAACATGTCAGTCTAGCAACGTTTCAGTTAGGCTTACTGCTGTTAGGCAGAGTTCGCAAAACAACGACCACTCAAACCAAATAATCATGACATCTTCCTGTCGGGTAAGCCTACTTTGCAGTTAACAATTAATTGAGAAGGTTTTTGGGGAAAGTCTACCCACAAGTTCATTATGATTACTAGCATGGCTAACTGGCTACATATTGAGTGATCACCAAACAGGTAAGACAGGCAACATTGCTGGAAATTATTTGGCAGATAGCTATTGTGTTATGTTTGGCTTTTTTTAAGCCAATAGTGGCTAACCAGGGGTGGGATAATGTCAATGTGGCTTTGATTGGATAGTAGCTGGGAGCTTGTTTATGAAAGTTTGTGATGAACACATGAAAAAATTGCATGTACTTTCAGAATTGCTTGGCGAGCTACTCGTAGGTGGGCTGGTAGATACTGTTAGCTGGGGATCTACCTGTTGGAGACCCCTGGTTACAGACCCCTGGTTACAGACCCTATTAGATAGACTATTTAATTCCTGTCATCTGAACATTGGAGTGTCAGCCACTATCATGCATGTCAGAGCAAGTGCACACAGCATAAAAACAGAGAAAATTGAATATTGGAGTACATTTATATGCGAATATATTTAGTAGAACAGACACACTTGTCTGTATTGGGCAGTGTCATCTCCAAACCAGATCAAAAGACAACCTCTCTCCAGAATCCAATGACGGAAATCCGTCGCAGTGACGGAGAACTTCAACCACTGCATTCAGTACGTCATAGGCATTAATTGGTTGAAAATAAAATGAAGAACGTGTGTTGTTCTCTGCAGTTTGTTCTGAGCTGATTAAAGGGCTCCCTCTAGTGGAATTAGAGGGCCATGGAATTATGCCTGCTATTATTAGGTACAGCGCATTCGGAAAGTATTCAGACCCCTACAGACGTGGCATTACTTCAGCTTTACTGAACATGTTTTGGTGTGAATATTTCAGCTTTACTGAACATTGGTGGAGGAAACCAAAACAACATTGAAACAGTTTAATTTCACGCTTTATTTGAGCAGAAGTAATATTTCAACAGCTCAACTCAAATCATTTTTTTTTTTTTAGAAATTTTAAAAAGGGAAAAAAGAAACAAAAACCCGAAAGGGGGGAAAAAAAATTTTAAAAAACAAAACCCACCCAAAACATAGAAAAAGCTAACAAGCCTTTTTCAAAGGCCCCCAAAAAAAAAAAACAGTGCCCGGGCAAAGAGGTGGAGTTGGGAAAGGTTTTTAAAAAGCAAAAGCCCTTAAAATAAAATTCCTTTTTTTGGAAAACCTGAAGGGGTTAAAAAAGGGGGTTATTTTATTTAAAAGGGTTTTTTATGGGAAAGGGGGTTTTTTTTGGGGGTGGGCCCAAAAAGGGGTTTCCCGAAAGAAAAGGTTTTTGGGTTATTAAATGTTAAGGGGGCCAGGGGTGTTAAAAGGTTTGAAGCGGTTTCCCAAACCAAAAACCCGGTGGGGGGTTTGGGTTTTTGTTGGGTTGAAAAGTAGGGGGCCAAAGGGAGCCCAAGGGCATGTTTTAGAACCGGAGGGGGGGTTAAAGGGGAAAAGGGTTTTGGGAGGGGAAAAGGGGGGAAAGGGGGGGAAAAGTTTGGAAGGGAGAGAAAGCGAAGGGGCCCCCGGGTCCCCAAAGGGGGGAAAAAAGAAAAGGGGGGAAAAAAAAAGTTTTAACATTCCCCCCACAAAAACCCCAAAACTAAAAAAAAATTTAAATAAAACCAAAAAAACCCCTTTTAAAAATATCACATAAACCACACAACGGTGGGAAAACCCCCTTTAAATTGGGGGATTCAGCTATTTAAACCACACCCGTTTGACAGGTGAATAAAAGCACCCAGCCCCTTTCAAATCCCAAGCGTTTCCCAAAATGCCTCGGGGGAAACAAACCCTCAGACAAAATTAAAGTTTGGGACTTCATGAAAAATGGGTTTCCCATGGCCGGGGCAGCCTAAGATCACCAAACTCAGATGTTCCAACATTTTAGTGGGAAAAAAACCTTCCCCGAAGAGGGGGCTGTTATTTGCAAAAAAAGGGGGGGGAAACCCCAAAACTGTATTAAAAGGGCCCTGATTTTTTTGGAAAGTTGGGGGCGAGCAGGTGTCCACATATTTTTTGGTCAAATTTTGTATGTAATTTCCCCTTAGGAAAAACACTTTTAAAACACGGGGAAAACACTGCAAAAAAAGCCCAAAAAATAAAGCAAAAACACACCTTTGCTGCCCCTGCGGGTTGCCCTAGGGGACCTTGCCGTCAAAGTCGTCCAACGGAACCTTGATGTCCGGGTTTACAAATGGTTGATTGTAACTTTAAATGCTCTTCTTTCCAAAACAAACACCCGAGGGAAATAAAGAGAGAAAGGGGATCAAAAAGGAAGGGGAGGGGAGAGAGGAGAGGGAGAAAAGGGGGGGGGAGAGGGGGATGGGGGAAGAGAGACAGAACGTCCCCCCCGGGGGGGGGGGACGGGGGGGGGGAAAAAGGGGGGAGGGATGGGAGGGAAAACAGACCCGGGACCCGGGAAAAACCACAACCAAAAGAAAAAACAAAAGGAGCAAAAGGGGGGGACAAGGGGAAAAAAGAACAGAAGAGGAAGAGGAAAGAAGAAAACAGGAAGAAGCAAAAGGAGAGAGGGGAAAACAGAAGAAGACGAGAGGAGAGAGAAGAGAAAAAAGAGAGAGAACCCGAGAGAGAGAGAAAAAGAGTGACAAAAAAAGAAAAAAGAGAGAAGAAGAAAAGAAAGAAGAAGAAGGGCAGAGAGAGACAAGAAAAAAGAGGAAAAAGGGGAGAAAAGAGACAGAGAGAGAGAGACGAGAGAGAGAAGAGAAAAACAGAGAGATGGAAAAAAAGAAGGGGGGGGGGGATGAGAAAGAAGGGAGGGGAAATGAGAGAGAGACCAAAAAAGGGGGAGAGAGAAGAGAGAGAGAGAGCATAAGAGAGCCCGAAGGGGGAGAGCGAAGGGGAAAAGAGAGAGAGCAGAAAAGAGGGGAGAGAGAGGAGAGAGACAGACAAAGAAGGGGAGAAGACAGGAAAAGAGAAGAACAGAAGAGAAAACAGCGAAAACAAGAGGGAAAAAAAGAGAAAATGCAGAGAAAAGGCCGAAAAAAGAGAAAAAAGGGGAATGGGGCGGGAAAAAGAATAAAAGGAAGGAGGGTTTGGGCCCCCAAGGCAGGAGGGGGATGGGGCCCACGGGTTTTTTCCCCCAGAGACCAGGACCCCCCAACCCAACCCCCAAAGTCGGAAGGAACCCAAAAGACGCCCGCCGCCCCGGAGAAAAAGGGGAAAGGAAAGGGGAGGAACAATCCGGAAGGGAAAAAAAAAATTGCCCACCCGTTTGGGATAGAGGGGAAAGCAGACACCCCCCCAACGGAAGGGGGCCACACCCCCATCCCCGATGGAAAGAGAGAGAGGCCAAAACCCCCCGGGGAATATTGGTAGAAAGGGGTAAAGGGGGGAAATGGGGGAAGAGCGAGAGGGGAGGTTTTTCCCAGAAGATTTAAAAGTTGGCACAAAGCGGCGAGAGATTTTCCAAAAGGGTGGAAAACGAGAAACCAAAGGGACCCCCCCAAAAGGAGGGCAAAACAAGAAATGACCCAAAGGAGAAAAGAAAACCCAGGGAAAAGACCACCCGGAGAAGGGGCCCCCGGGCAATAAGAGAAAGGGAGAATTTAAAAGGGCCACCCAAGGGCAGAAAAGGGGAAAGGAGAAAGAAGAAGGAGAAAACGGCCCCAAACAGAAATAGGAAGGGAGAAACTGAGAGAGAAAAAAAAAGAGTAGAAAAGGGGAAAGGCTAGAAAGGGGAAACCCGGAGAATTTTGAGACAGACAAGAGAAGAGCCGACCAGGGGAGAGACCCGACAGAGAGAGAGAGAGACGACAGAGAGAGAGACAAAACAGAGAGAGAGAGATAGAACAGAGAGAGACAGACAGAGAGAGAGAAAAAGAGAGAAAAGCGGAGAAAGGGAATGTGAATAGGAGAGGAAGAGTCGTAGTTGTCTGGTGGTTTCCTCACCTCCTTCTCGTTGTACCAGATGGTACACCCTCCATCATCCTTTAACCTGGTGTTGAAACATCCTCTGCCCCGGTTAGCACAGGTATGGTACCACACCTAAACACACAATGACTGTCAGCTACTGGTTGATGTGAGATGACACATGTTCAACAAATATTCTGATGTATGGCTTTACCTTCTCTTTCTCCATGGCAACGAGAGAGATGGCCAAACCCATCCTGAAAGATAAAAGACAAATTTAAGACGAGTCTTTCTAGAGGTGGTTTTCCCAGACTCAGATTAAGCCTAGTTCAGGACTAAAAGCATCGTCAATGCAGATTCTCTAATCTGTGTCTGGGAAAACGGCCCCAAGCCTGATACATCCACTAGTGTAGTTCTCCCAGTGTAGTCTGGCAATACCTAGACATTACTGACCACCAGGCTAGACATTACTGACCACCAGGCTAGATATTACTGACCACCAGGCTAGATTTTACTGACCACCAGGCTAGATATTACTGACCTCTCTGCTCTCCCCACCAGGCTAGATATTACTGACCACCATGTTAGATCTTACTGACCACCAGGCTAGATATTACTGACCACCAGGCTAGATATTACTGACCACCAGGCTAGATATTACTGACCTCTCTGCTCTCCCCACCAGGCTAGATATTACTGACCACCAGGCTAGATATTACTTACCACCAGGCTAGATATTACTGACCACCAGGCTAGATATTACTGACCACCAGGCTAGATATTACTGACCTCTCTGCTCTCCCCACCAGGCTAGATATTACTGACCTCTCTGCTCTCCCCACTCTGCCGATGCGATGGACATAGTTCTGCTTCTCATCTGGCAGAGTCACGTTGATCACTGGAACACATTGATTTTTGATAAAATTGATCGGGGTCAAAATGGATTAAACAGCAATAGGATGACTTGAACCTGAAAAGGAGGTTCCATCTGTTGTTGTGTGTGTGTGTGTGTGTGTGATGTGTGATGTGTGTGTGTGTGATGTGTGATGTGGTGTGGAGTGTGTGATTGTGGTGTGTGTGAAGTGGTGTGCTGGTGGGTGATGTTGTGAGGTGTGTGTTGTGTGTGTGGTGTGTGTGTGTGTGATGTGTGATGTGTGTGTGTGTGAGAGTGTGTGTGTGATGTGTGTGTGTGTGATGTGTGTGTGTCTCTCTCACCGTAGGGGACTCCGTGGATGTCGATGCCCCTGGCCGCCACATCTGTACAGATCAAGAACTTCACTTCCTGTTTCTGTCGGGAGATACAGGAAGTCAATATCATCTTTGATAATGCTGTTGCTTAGCACCCAGATGAAAACAGAATAGAATAAAGTATAAAATAGAGTCGAGTCGAGTAGCTTTATTCTCCTGTGAGAGCCCTTTATGGGGAACGGCTGGGGGTCCCATGCACTGTTTTGAGAAGCTCTGCTAACCGTACCTCTAACCCGAACCATGTCTGCATCCCAAACAGCCCCTGTTCCCTAAGGCTCAAAAGCAGTGCACTAAAACAGGGACTAGGGCGCCATTTAGGAGGCAGACATGGTTACGTTAGGTACGGTTAGCAGACCATTAACTCAAATCAACTAACTGATGTACTTGTTCATCTCATTGGTTCAAAAAAAAAAATAGTCTCGATACCCCAGACGTACGGCAACAGCACTAGGTTAAAATAGTCTCGATACCCCAGACGTACGGCAACAGCACTAGGTTAAATAGTCTCGAGACCCCAGACGTAACGCAACCAGCACTAGGTTAAAATAGTCTCGCTACCCCAGACGTACACGCCACAGAACTAGGTTAAATAGTTCTCGATTTTACCCAGACTACGGGCAACAGCACTAGGTTAAAATAGTCTCGATTACCCCAGACGTTACGGCAACAGCCACTAGGTTCTACATGAGTCTCGATACCCCAGACGTACGGCAACAGCCAACTAGGTTAAAATAGTCTCGATTACCCCAGACGTACGGCAACCCAGCACTAGGTTAAAACGTCTCGATACCCCAGACGTACGGCAACAGCACTAGGTTAAAATAGTCTCGATACCCCAGACGTACGGCAACAGCACTAGGTTCTAAATAGTCTCGATACCCCAGACGTACGGCAACAGCACTAGGTTAAAATAGTCTCGATACCCCAGACGTACGGCAACAGCACTAGGTTAAAATAGTCTCGATACCCCAGACGTACGGCAACAGCACTAGGTTCTAAATAGTCTCGATACCCCAGACGTACGGCAACAGCACTAGGTTAAAATAGTCTCGATACCCCAGACGTACGGCAACAGCACTAGGTTAAAATAGTCTCGATACCCCGAACGTACGGCAACGCACTAGGTTAAAATAGTCTCGATTACCCCCCAGACGTACGGCAACAGCACTAGGTTTAAATAGTCTCGATACCCCAGACGTACGGCAACAGCACTAGGTAAACATAGTCTCGATACCCCAGACGTACGGCAACAGCCACTAAGTTAAAATAGTCTCGATACCCCAGACGTACGGCAACAGCATCTAGGTTAAAATAGTCTCGATACCCCCGACGTACGGCAACAGCACTAGGTTAAAATAGTCTCGATAACCCCAGACGTACGGCAACAGCACTAGGTTAAAATAGTCTCGATTACCCCCAGACGTACGGCAACAGCACTAGGTTAAAATAGTCTCGATACCCCAGACGTACGGCAACAGCACTAGGTTAAAATAGTCTCGATACCCCAGACGTACGGCAACAGCACTAGGTTAAAATAGTCTCGATACCCCAGACGTACGGCAACAGCACTAGGTTCTAAATAGTCTCGATACCCCAGACGTACGGCAACAGCACTAGGTTCTAAATAGTCTCGATACCCCAGACGTATGGCAACAGCACTAGGTTCTAAATAGTCTCGATACCCCAGACGTATGGCAACAGCACTAGGTTAAAATAGTCTCGATACCCCAGACGTATGGCAACAGCACTAGGTTCTAAATAGTCTCGATACCCCAGACGTACGGCAACAGCACTAGGTTCTAAATAGTCTCGATACCCCAGACGTACGGCAACAGCACTAGGTCTGGAACTCATGTCGGGTTTTCTTGGCCAATTCGGAGCGGGTGCGCTTCAGACAGACAAACTATCTCCCGAGTGGCGCAGTGGTCTAAGGCACTGCATCGCAGTGCTAGCTGTGCCACTAGAGATCCTGGTTCGAATCCAGGCTCTGTCGCAGCCGGCCGCGACCGGGAGACCCATGGGGCGGCGCACAATTGACCCAGCGTCGTCCAGGGTAGGGGAGGGAATGGCCGGCAGGGATGTAGCTCAGTTGGTAGAGCATGGCGTTTGCAACGCCAGGGTTGTGGGTTCGATTCCCACAGGGGGTATGAAAAATATATATAATGTAAGTCGCTCTGGATAAGAGCTTCTGTTAAATGACTAAAATGTCAATGTAAATCTCTCTCAACAAATCATGAGTTTGGGTAGGCGGGGCTTAAAAATAATCCCCCCCCCGGAAACATAACAGAAGAAAACAATGCAGAGGCAGATAGCTAGGCTAATTTTAGCCACAGCCAGTCAGCGGTTG